TATCATATTACCATGATGAAAACCTGATGTGCTCGAGAAAAAAACGAGGGCAGATTCAGAGTCAGTGAAATGTAAGCAAAATTTGTTGAGCAGTGTAATATTCTATATGTCCCAAAGTGAAATTTAGCTTTGGGCTTCATGGAGGCGTGCTTGTGGCGCTCGGCCTACCGCGGTGCACAACTGCAGCGGCTTCCACAATGGCCTAATTAACCCGCCGCATTCGTGCATGCATTCATTCATTCCTTCCCTCATTCCTTCTCATCATCGCAGCACCCCGTGACTGTCCCCCAGGCAATCTCCACCTGCAGAGTCCCCAAGCCTCGCAACGGACAGCTGGATTCCCACATATTAGCCATAAAAGACACACATTTGTTTCCATTTGTAACGCCGTCCCTCAAACAGATTAGAAATCCCGATAACCGGGGGGAGCTCGCCGATTGGACGGGACGTGAGCGCGTTCGTACGAAGGCTGACATGCGATTGGCTGAGCTCCGGCGAGGCCGCGCCCCCTCGCGGCGCTCTCTCTATATAAAATTCGGAAGCCTCGCCATGTGGACGTCGCAAGCTGTCAACATTACCTCGCCGCCATCCCTAAAGGAGAATCTCGCCCGAACAAATCAACTCTTCTAGTTTGCGTGCGCGTGTCGGGGGAGTACGGACCGAAAACCTGTGCCCGCCATGAAGGTCGTTGGATCTACTTGCGCCTTGAAGAGCAAAGTGGGCGGCGAGGACATGGTACGCTGCTTATCCGAGCAGAGCCTCGCCATCTCCAAGTGCAAGATCCCGCTGCTGGACGAGCAGATGAGCGTCTTCCTGCAGGACATGAACAGCTGCTACAGCAAGCTCAAGGAGCTCGTGCCCACCCTGCCCACCAACAAGAAGGCGAGCAAGGTGGAGATCCTGCAGCACGTCATCGACTACATCTGGGATCTGCAGGTGGAGCTGGACGAGCCGGAGAGGAGCCGCCACCAGCCCGGCGGCGTGCAGCCGCGCACGCCGCTCACCGCGCTCAACGCGGAGCTCGCCAGCATCGCCGTCGAGGTGATTATGCGATCACGCTCTCATTTCGTTTTACGTCAAAGCGTCTACGTACGGTCGCGGTGTCCTAATAGTCGGTCTCCCTTTGCAGAATGGCTGCTCGGATGACAGGATCATGTGCCGCTAAGAGCCTCGCGAAGCGTCTGGAGCTTCAACGAGGCTTTCCCAAGGTGTCCCCGCGCAGCATCCACGAAAACCTTGAACTGTCGGTGCAGGAGGGGGGCGGTTCCCACTGCCAGAAAAACGAGAAAAAAAGCTAGAGGCGTTGCGTGGACGTTCTCCTGGTGACGAGGTTACAAAGCAAGAAGTCACCCGAGCCTCTCGAGTTATCAAGAGGCTCCAGAGAGAAAGCGAGAGGGAGAGAAAGACGCGAAGCAGCGGTTGGGCTCCACAGAAGACTGGGCTGCCCACTGGGACCAAGACTGGACGAGTCCAGCGCAACCAGCAGAACCTGTTGCGTGTTCTACAAAGCTCGTGTTACATGCTTGTCTCCTGTGCAAACAAAACAAAAAAAAAATCATTCCAGAAATTTGTATTTTTTAATTCTCAGATTACTGAGCGACAAACAGTATTGTATATTACAATGCCACATGATGTGTGAACATATTGTTTTCTTACAATGTACATTTTTTTTTATTAAAACAATACGATTATTTTTTAACTTGTTGTCTGCGCACGTTTATCCTTCTTCTACACACATAAGAGGCACCGATTCCTTGCATGCGTGAAAACTAACACTTGGCTGTTATGACATTGTAATGGGCCATATTGGAGCAAAGTCTCATGCAGGTGGAATCGACTGCGATTGGCGTTTAAGGCTGCTGTCGCACTCAAGAGAAACGGCGCAGTCAAGCCAATGAGTGTTAAATCTGGTAACATCAAGCCAAAAGCTGGTTCAAGACTTCATTTGGGTCAGTGCGGTGACCTGTGTGACCTTCCGAGAGGATGTTCCACTTGAAATGCTTCAAAATGGAGCAAAAAGGACACAAGCGTAGCTTTATAAGACTCCCTTCACAGAATATGGTTTCATCTTATTGTTTTAAGCTTAGCATGAGATTTGTTTTTAAATGGCATAAATATAAATAATGTACTGGGTAAGTGTTTCAAAATAGTTTCATGTAACCACCTGTCCAGAAGGTGGAATGTGTTTAACACGACAAAAGACTTTGAAGCCACGCAAAACAAGTTGGCTTGTCCCTGAGTGCGTCTTTTTACATATTCTTACACCGCTGCTCATGTCTTGTTCGTAACCTCGAAATCTCTTAATTACATTCAATATTAGTGTGAAAAACATTTTGGTCCACAAATCTTTATCATGTAAAGCATCAAATGAAAAAAAAAACTGAGCGTGTTCTTGAGTAATTAAAAAGTATCTATTTTTTTTATTTTTTTTCTTTCGTTTTGCAAAACCTGAGAATTTTCCAAAAGCACTGATAAATGTTTTTTTCATGAAAAAATAAGGATCAATATGACAAAATACGATACTAACTACCCGGTACTGCAACATGAGTAGCCCTAATAATTGTGCTGTGGATTTGGAATGATGTGCAGGATAAACTCGGTGTCTCGCTAATGTCAACATTTTGAGTGAGTTGATTTTTTTTTTCTTTTGTGAAAAATGTACCAAATGAGTTTTTGCACTTGGAGGAATGTCGCTTTGCTGTTCAGCAGTTTTGTGCCATCCTTGAATGGTCCTTTTTAGGCAAGAGAAACTTGGTGATTTTGTTGGTTGCTCCTTTGTTGCTGGGTTAGGGTAGTGGACCTATTAGCAATGATATGTGATCGAAAATGAAATCGATGAAGAGAATGTATTTTGCACACATTTTGGCCGTATTTAAAAGAGCATTTATGTCATCTGGCTAGGGAAGTGTGTGGTCTTATTTGCGGCGCCCACCCTCCTCACGCTGCCCATCCCTGACCTAAGTCATAATTACAATAAATATTTGTATGAAAAACAGTCTGGCTAAATCGGACGGCGAAACAAGTATTGCCGCGTGCGTGCCTTCTTGCGCTATCTGACAACGTATTCTGCCTCCTCTTCGCAAACGACTGTAAGGCATTCGTACGCGGAGGTGATCGTCAAGCAGTTACGCCCCGTTTTCTGACGCTTTGCGGGGGTCTCTCGAGGCCTGGGGTCCAATGACAAGGCGTCAGTCAGCTACAAAAGTAGTTTCCCTTCGTCAGGCGTCACTTCAAGTTGCTGTTTCAATGTGTTCTGTTGTAAATCAGCATGCGCGGCGCACGGGTTAAGAACAGGCACCGGCTCAAAGATCGCTCCTAAGATTTATTCTGTCTCCCCGATGCAATGTTTTTCCCATTTCCCCCGCGGTGCGAAGCGCGCAGCTGCGGGCCGGCGTGGCCGCCCGGGCGCCGTGTGATCGTGTTTGCGCGATAGCTTTGTGCCAAGGGCAGGGGCGGGGGTGGGGGTGTGCAGGGAGCAGGCGCGAGGAGGGAGGGAAGGAGGGGGCGGGCGGCCGGGCCCAGACTGAGCGGCGCCGCGGCACACCTGGGGAAGTTCAGGTTAAATAGCTCCACATTCCTCAACACACAGCTGATTGAAACATTAACAAACAGTAATCCGCGGGCCAGGCCGCAGATGGGCCGGGAAGCGAGCCAACGCACAGACAGAGAGACAGAAACGGAGAAGGGAGAGAGGAAGAAGAGGGGGCCCGGAGGGGGGGGGGCAGTCTCGCTTTGGCACAGATTCCCACACTACTAGCTCGTGATTGAGATCTGCAATAACACGTCATATTTTTATAAGCACGCACACACACACACACACACACACACACACACACACGCCCCCCGCATACACAATAGGAACATTCACGTTCGCGACTATTTCGAGACGATTCACAGCATTTCTTGTACATTTGTATTGTGCTGCCTTCGTGAAACGTCAACGCTGACCCCAACGCTGCCTTTTCGTTGCACTGTGATGCGCCTTTTGTAAGCAAATACCTCCCTCTAGCGCTCGTCTGCAGGCATTGCAGTCATAGTTTAGTAGAAGAACCTTTTGTCTTGTCGACTGGGCTGCGTTACGGAGCAACATCGCCCCCCGTCTTGGCCAAAGTGTAAAATGGACTGATGCTTTGGCTCAAAAATGGCAATTTATTATTGAACGAAGGAATTATACATTCATTTAGAGATATTAAATTAACGATTAGAATTATGTAATGACATAAAACATCGTTTAATGTATGAAAAAAAACTTTTAATATTCATATTTTATGTAAAATAAATACTTCAGGGAATGATTTCATGAGACTGGAATTTTAAAACGGACAGATAAGGCAGTTGTTTATTTATTTAATGAATTAATGCAAGAAATATTCCAGGACTTCTCGGTCGGCCTGATTACAGAACGGAGCGGGCAGTAAATGGGCTATAGTTTGACCACGAGCGTCGAATTGTTGTGTATTTTGAATTTTTGCTGTGGTTATTTCCTAACGCATTCTGCGCCAAGGCGCATAATTTACATGAAAAAAAAATCCCACAGCGCACCACCAGACATAATGTTTCAAAATGGAGATACTGCACTGGCTGAATGTCATTTGGCTCAAACGGTACTTGGTGTGAAATCTGAGCCTGTTTCGGTGTGCTGTCCTGTAAGGTGATTCGCCACACTTGTAGGAAGCCACGATTTGTATTCCATCGTCTCAGTGGCAAGAGGCACATGTTAACGCTACCTTCTGCCTTCTAGTGGAAGAGCATTGAACTGTTCTATCTTCACTTACGTCACCGGCATCCAACGATCAACAACTATGTCGGATCATCCCCCACGGAACACACACATATGGTACTCGATATTCAGGCGAACGTTGCATTTGTCGATTTTCCTTACCGCTTGTCCTTTATCTGTGTTTTCAAACCTTAACCTCTTGCCTGTGAGGCAGATGCGCCTGCCACCGGTTAACCAGTAATATGAACCGAAGGTTATTCTACAATAAATTGACACGTAGTGGTTTCGTTTGTTTATTTTGTAAACATAATATACCAGCTGATGTGCCCGCTGATAATCATAAGTTCGCAATCAACGTGTTTAAATAGAATTTTGTATTTACATCAATATCAACAACTGAACCCCCCCCCCCACCCTGTAATATACATCCTGTAAAATAACAAAGCTATTCATGTCCCAGAGAAGGCAAAACAGCTCCATGTTCATTTGCGTCGCTTTGCACTTCATTCAAATATTACAAAGTTCTTTTCCACCAAAGTAGTAAAATCTGGGCATCGAATGAAGTTGTATTTGCGCCGTTGATATGACTGGAATTCAACCTTGCTTATTTGCATTAAAAAAAAACTGTGCAGCGGGGAATTTCTAAATCCTTCCTGCACAGAGCTCCGAACAACTTCAATGTCCCGTCTATGACTAAAATATATCACCCTCATATGCGTTTACAGGTGTATGATATGTACCCATTTACCATCTGAAAAAAACAATGATATATCATTAAAAATGTACACCCAAATCCTTAAAAACTATACAAAGATGTGGAAAACTATCTTTGGATTGCGCTTGTTGAAAAGGTAGATTGAGCAGAATAAGAGTCCAATGGAAAATGACAAAATGGCTTAAAAAAACAAAACACCCAAATAAAATAAAATACACTCCACAGAAAGAGGAAGCCGGAAGGAGAACAATGTGAGGACCGGACACATGATGAACTGCCCATTTTTTGTTTGTTCATGTCCTCGTTATACTGCAGTGAAATGCACATCCAAAGCTCATCCCGCACGTCACCTGACAGAACAGCTTTAACGTGACTGACAGTCCAAAAAGACTTCCACCACTTTCCAAGAGCACAATACAAAAGCTCAAAAGCCTTCAGTTCATCAGATCCTTGTCACGATTAAAAGTGCCTCGCTAAGACATGAAATACACACATTCGCAGAAAAAAAAAATTACAGCGTTTAAAGCGTGGGGGTGGGAGGGGATTGGGGGGAAGGGTGAAGACAAATGAAGGAAGGGAAGTCCCGTCAGAACTGTAATATTAGGAAAGGCGTGAAAGGAAGAAAAAAAATTAACCAAATCAGCTGTGACCTCGCGGACCCCCCCCCCAAAACACAAACCAGTCTCATTCTTTGTGCAATAATAAGCCTTGAAAAATCACGGTTGATATATTTTGTCGAATATGTACAATTCCTATTCACAGATGATGTTTGAGACATCTAATACTGCAGTACCATTTGCTTGCTTAGAAGAGAGGTTGAGATGCTCACTTACAGACGAAAACATTGACATTATTGCTCCAATCTGTATACCGGAAGAAAGTGTGCTTATATTTTCCAATGACTTTTGCATGAGGCCATCCAGACAATTAAAAACAAACACAAACAAAACAACAACAACAAAAAAAAAAACAACCATAAAAAATATATAAAAAAACAAACCCATTGTTGTGAAGGCATCAAATTTCTCGTAAGGCTGTAAAGATGAGGAAATATTGCATCAATGGTTTTCCATCCAGAAACCTCCAAGTAAAGTGCAGTCAGAGCCAGTTGTACCGTCGCTCCCCGTTTTGCTCAACACTGCCTGCCATCTCCAAGTCTTACACACGCGCACATGCACGTGCACACACACAGACACACACACGCGTCCTAATATGAGGGTGCAAAGCTCCAGTTGGAGATACAACCTGGCACAAATTCATCCTGAGGGCAATTTTGCTCTCGGATGAGCAGTGTGTTGTGTCGATGTCGTTCATGTTTGATGCTGGAGAATAATGTTTAGGTGTTCTCTGGGCCCAGACCTTGGTGGGTCCCTAAGCGATACTTCTGCAGAGAGGAGGTAAAAAAAAAAGAAGAAGACAAAGATGTGACATGTGCGATGAGATGTGTTGCAAAACATCGTCAGAAGCGGAGAGCCTGATCAGGTCCCATCGGCATCCGACCCATTCCCATAGGGTTCATGCCCATCTGACCCTGCATTGGTCCTGGCATCTGGCCCTGCATTTGATTTTGCATCTGGCCCGGCATTTGGCCCATTTGGGCTGAGCCGGCACCACCGACCGCGCCGGTTCTGCCAAGGGAGTTGTTCATCATCATGTTCCCAAACTGGCCCTGGTTCCCCTGCTGCGCAAACTGTTGCTGGGGATACGAGCTGCAGGAAGGATGCAAAGAACCGCTGAGTCATGCGCCGTAGATACCCTCCAACTCTTTGCACTGCATGCAACTGATTTGGGGTCAAGTAAGGTTGGGAAATACTATTTATTCCAAGTGGCACTGAAACGAAATACTTTGCTCTTCA